GAGGAGGGGCCAGGCCGCGGGCGGCCACCCCGCAGCCGCGAGCGGAGCAGGCGGATAGCGCGGAGTAAGGAAGCCACAGCAAAACGTCCCTGAAAGGGCAAAGCCACAAGAGAGGTTTGCTGAGGGAAAACCGAAATCCGGAAAGCCTCCTTTTCGCTAAGGAAATAATTGAAGAAGTGCAAGCAAAACCAGCCCGTTTGATCCTGATCCCTTTGCTTGCCGTAAATACAACTGGAACACAAATACTCCGCATGTGATCCTACACCTGTTGCACCGCCATTTCCTACATAACGTTTCTGTGTAGAATGTCACTGTAATCAATGTACTATTTCCAGGAAAATAAATTCTCAATTAAAGGGATCGGGGCAACTTTATGGCATTTTGCTACAATACACTTGCTGCCTCACCTCTGTTTGAGCAAGTTTTCCTGCAGTGATGAAGCAATGCCTGGGAACCTCCCCAAGCCTGGCCCATCCCCTGGCATCAGAGGTATCTGTAAATAAAAGGCCACTGTGTGTTTCCAGTCACTGCCAATAACCAGAAAACCAGCCTCCCAAGTGGGGTCGTTCTAGGCTCAGGAGAAACAGTAAGGGGTCTTAATGCCACCTGGGTGTCCCCGAGGTGCTCGGGGTACCTACCCTGTTAAACATCGAGCCCAGCCCGGGCCACCGAGGCAGACCTAACCAAACCGCTGTCACCAACTGGGGCATGGGAGGATCAGCTTAGGCAAAGCTGGCCTGCTTTGCCCCTGACGACCTCTAACGGCACACCACACCAGTCTCCCAAAACAGCCCGCTCCAGTGCCCCCCAAAACAGCCCGCTCCAGTGCCCGTGCCTGCCATGGGCTGGGCTGGCCGGGTCTGGAGAGGGTTGGCAGTGCGGTCGGTCGTGATCCTGCCCTGCTACGAGCAGCAAATGGATACGGACACATGTGCCTGCAGATGCAGCCGGGGGCTCAGTCTGGTCCTGCAGTCGCTGTGTGGTTTGTACCCTCTCCAACCACAGCTCTGGAGAAGACAGATTATTCCTTTTTAACTTTGCTTCCTTTTTGGGTTTGAAGACTGCTGCTATGCCCCCTTCAATCTTCTTTGGCTAAACTTATCACTTAAATAAATGAGCTGAATGTCAAGAGCAATGTCCTGCTGTCCTGATAAAATCATTTCGCTAGCACAACCGTACAAGCACAGATTAAGGGTCACTTTTTTGTGTTTTTTTTTTTTTTTCCAAAAGGACATTAACAGTGACTTAATAATCCTTTGCCTTTCAGTTCAGTTTTTAATTTTCAGAAATGAGTCTTTTTTCATATTCCTCAGTTCTGCAATTTTACATAGGATTCAAAGCAAGTCCTGCTTGCATAAATAGTATGATTGAGGCCTTGATCCCATGGCCCCTTATATGAATGGATCAAGCTTAGAGCTGAATTGAATTAAGAGGAAATGTCGTGTGAAATGACATGTAAACAACATTGTTTGCCACACATTCACATTCACATCTCCTAATAAAAATATAGTTAAAAATCTAGATGGAGCAGAAACTTCCCTTTAGACTACTCGAAATATTTCCAAAGCTGTTTGGCAATTACTGAATATGTAGTTCAAAGTAGTCATCTGCAGAAATGTCTATCTTCATTCTTAATCCAAGTGATTTACAATAATTCAAACCTTTCTTTGTGCATTTTGGTGTATCTTACTTTTGGCTGAGAACAAGCCTCCCACTTTTAATAACAAATCCTGCAAGGAGAACAAAGAGAGATATCAATATAACATTATGTATGAAAATGATATTTCACTAGAATAACAAGTCAACAGTATTTTGATCACATGCTTACATTAGTCTTTGTAGTTACCTGTAAACTCTTCTTCCTCTGTTACAGTTAAAGTCTTCTAGGTTGAATTTGTGGCACAATGCAAAGTATATACTCTTGTCTGCAAAAGACACAGTTGACACGCTTACAGATATTCAGAGCACTTAAGCGCATGCTCTGTGAAGCAGAAATGCTATATAATCTACCTTGCCATTTCTATTGCATCCATTACTGCGGCATGTAAGCGTCCTTTTTAGGCCAAGATGGACCACACCTTTCAGCAGTGGAAATCTGTTGTCTTTTTTTGGCCACCTCCTTAGGAATCATATATGGCTGTGTTTCATGGACTAAAATGCTTGAATTTGCCTTGGTGCAATGGGAACTGTTCAGCTGTTGAGCTTTGGCCACTGACTTTGTCTTTGAGGCTAAGGCAGCAAGTTAGAAAGAATCATGGTGGGCTGGATTTGGCCTCCGAGCTACCGGTTACGTTCCCCTCTCTCTCCCTGGTTCAGGCTACACTCCTCAGTTCCCTGTTTATGCTGCTTTGTATTGTCCTCCAAAAACAGGATGCACACGTACACAGGGAACCCTGTACCTTGAATTACCTGAGCAAAGTCGAAATGACAACTGCACAGACAGCGCCTTGCCAATATGTCAACTGGCAAGAATGCGGCTTACCTACCCTCTAATAAAAGAACGCCCAGCAATCGAGGCAAGGTGGGGCATGTCTTTCACTGTTTCTCTGCCTCCCTAGGATATTTATAGTTTATGTGTCATTGACATGCGTAAGAACTGCTGTGAAATCTAGTTGTTGACATTTGGTTTCTGTTTGTTTTACTTGTTTTTTTTCTTTTCCAGGGAGGCTTGCAAAACAAGTTTCGCAAACAGTGTAAGTTAAGCAATAAAAGCTACAATTTGTGAAATCACTTTTGATTAAATTTCTTGAGCTGCTGAAGGCAGAGAGTGCACAGGAATTTCTCAGGTTGAGTATCTGCCATTCGCTGAATATATTGTACGACAAACTTTTTTAACTTGTTGAACCCAGTGTTCAGATAGTACAGCTAAAATTAAATACAAAGGGAGCAATTTATTTTTGCTAAGACATGCTATGAGTGCTATTTTCATCAACAAAATGGTTGTTCTCTTTCTTGTTTTCTCAAGTGTGAGCTGCAACTGAAGATATTGGGGAATGCTACTCTGTTTTTGCTGTTTTATGACATTAAAAAGTCCCAAAAGATTTATTAGCTTTTATAAAAATCACTTTCAAAGTACTGATTTTTTACCATAGAAACAAGAAGACTTTTCCCCTATTTTTACTGGAAAATGACTTGGAGATTTAGAGAACTAGAAAGGAAACTTACCTTGCAAAGTAGAGGAAGAGTTTTAAATATTTAACTAGTATTTGTCAAATGCCTGAGTTAATTACAGACTAACAAAAGCAGGGTTTTTTTAAAGCACAAAAATGTCTTATTAAACATCCCCTAATTACTAACATTAATTTCTCTTGATGGTGGTCTCACTTATTTTTAATCATCCAAGGACTGCAGAGAATAATCCAAGAATGACAGCTTTTCCAAAAAGAACAAGTTACATGTGCCTGGCTTTCTAATATTAAAAAAAACAAGCAGGACAAGAATACAAAATTCAACTCTACCATTGACAGGCTTTTTTTTTCTTCATAAAGAAGTTTTGCTTTTCATTTCGTAAATGACTTTGAAGATATTTTCAGAGAAAATCACATTGCATCTGCATTCAGCTTCAACTTTATAACTAAACACAGGCAGAAAAATGGGCTGATAAATTGAATTGGGTATTTTTAACTGAAGTTAATTGATATCTTGTCAGAAATGGGGAGCAGAGGCAAATTCTATCTCTGTATTGCCTCTTCAAGTATCCAGAGGTGTCAAAAATATATATATATTATGTGCAAGGTATGAACAATATCTGAATCAAATTTATGATAAAAGGCTTGTCTAATACACAGAACTGGAATTGGTATGAAAGAGCAGATGAATATAAAATAAGATATTCTGGTGTCCACTTGTCATGTGGACACTTTTATTTTGGTATGAGTCTCTGTTTTTTATTAATTTCAGTGCAACTGTGCCAGGTTCCACCATCAGGAAAGAAATTGGCCCCACCTTTGCATGTCATCCTGTCACTAGTGTGATATAGCCCAATCATTTACGTGAAGAGCCTAGACATAGATTGGTACTACTCTGTGCATTATTTCTCTTCATGAAAAAACACAACCCTAAAGGTTCTTCTGGACTGTAGAAACAAATTTCAACAGTCATGGAAAATGATTGGCATTTTTAAGCGTAATGGAAAAATTCCCATGATCATATGTATTAGAAGCAAAACCACATCCATAAGAAAAGGCTTAAATTGTTAGATTTTCCTCCCCGCTTCTCCCACTGTAGGCAGTCATGATGATTCCTTTGGCATTTATGCTGCTCTTTGGATATGTCCTTCCATTTTCTGAAGTGTTTTTGTACCTCTTCTCTAACGAACTACCAGTTTACATAACGTTCCTTCTGGTATTGCCAAACAAACAGAAATACTGATCTTGAATGACAGCCTCCTCCTGCCAGGGCTGTTTCTCCACTCGGCTCAATCTAACATACCCAGGTTTAGCCTAAAACCAGCTCTCCCTTCAGAACAATTCAGTGGTAGGCAGTAGCAAGAGCATTCTCTATCTGTATCTCCCTTGGAACAGCTTCATAGACCTGTCATCAGACCTGTTCAAGAACACGGAAAACTGTTTGTTTTGACTTAGCTGAAATTAGACGGAGTCACCTGGACAACAATATTTTCAGCACCTTAGAAAAACGTACCTATTCAGACCGTTTTAATAACAGGCTGCAGATACTAGCGTCTGTGTGTGCTGAGCTGTCTCAGCCTGGTATCTTGATGCTGGCAGGTAACTCTCTCCATACTGTATCAAAAGGAATTTCTGATACCATTCCTAATTGTAAAGTCCTGGCGCTGTCACATAATAAAATAAACCATTTACATAACGTTTGATAGCATAAAGCATCCTAATGATTTACTGACTCACGATAATAATTTTACAGAGATACAACAGTGCACACAGCCTAGAACACTTTTTGGTACCTGAAAACAGACACCAAAATATTCTACTGCTGCTGTTTGCTGGCAGGTTAGGGAAGGCTGACCTACCCAGTAATTTACTCTCAGAATTGCCTCCTGTTTTCCTTTGGGTTTAGAGCAGCTGGAAGTTCTCACTTTATCTGAAATTTGTTTTTGTGATTTTCCCAGAGATCTACTCATAGATATTACTAAGCTAGCATTTCTGATTCAGAAACTTGTCCTCATACTTTACATTGACAATATGGCTAACTTGGAACTGTTAGATCTCTCCAGTAACAATATAAAACAAATAGAGGATGACATATTGAAGATAAATTGTAATAAGATAGAAGTAATTTTGAATAGGAATTCAATTTACACAAGCGAATGACTTCTGTGTTTCAAGGCAATATATATTTACAAGCTGAGAATACATGGTCTAAGTACAATAGTACTAAGCAATGCGATCCGGCACATCTGGACGGAAGTCTGTTTTAGGTATGACGAGCCTCTGAGGTACTGAACTGCAGAACGCCATCCCTAAGACGCATTGTAACACTTCCTCTGAACTGCGCTTTAAGATGTTATGACAGATGCTCTCAGCTGGTGTCAAAAGCACTTTGTCATCCTCCATGCAAACTTACAAAGCCGGGGGGGGGGCAGTTGTAGTAGCTGCATCATTTATTTCAATAATATCTCTGGTTTAATCTCTCAGCTGCCTGCTACTAAGCAACAGGGTCATACAGTACAGATGCCTAAATAGGCATGTGTGTGTTTTGGAGGGACTGAATGTTAGCGTGGTATAAACTGGCATGAATTTGGGTTGCCTCTATTTCTTGTGCCCAGTGAAGGCATGAGCTCATCCGAACATTTCAGGTAAGCGCTGATAAAAATCTCAGTATAGTGCTATTTATTAGTTCACAGACCCTTTCATCCTTCCGGTGCGCCAGTTATCTCGGCTGCAGTGACACCAACCGCCATCAGGCCCGTCAAGGCTGCAAACCCCCTTCTCGAAGCCCTTTCCAGAAGTTTCCTCGGTCGCGGCTGGT